ATGTTCAAGGTGGGATCTTGAAAGTGGTGAAAGGTTTGCTAGTAGTGATGAAAGCAGAAAAGGTCGCTGCAAATCTATACATGCTTTTGGGAGACACGATGAAAGAAACAAATGCACGGAAGCAGCTGGAAGCCAGGAAGAAACAACGATGATATGACATCGCAGACTAGGCCATATGTTAGAACGAGGTTTGAAAGTTCTTGCAAAACATAATCTCATACCCAGGCTCAAGTTAGTAAATTTATCTTTCTGTGATCACTGTGTGATAAGCAAGCAGCATAAACTAAAGTTTGCTAAGTGAACTGCTAGAAGCAAACACATACTAGACTTGATTCATTCTGATGTGTGGGAGTCACCGGAAATGTCCATTGGCGGAGCAAAATATTTTGTATCATTCGTTGATGATTACTCCAGGATATTATGGGTGTACCTAATTAAGAAGAAGCCAAATGTGTATTTAGTATTCAAGAAGTTCAAAGCACAAGTGGAACTTGAAACTGGAAAAATAATTAAGTGTTTGAGGACAAATAATGGAGTAGAATATACAGATGGTGATTTTCTGACATTCTGTAAGCAAGAAGGTATTAAACAGCAGTTTACTATTGCTCATACACCTCAGCAGAATGGTGTAGCAGAACAAATGAATAGAACTCTCTTAGAGAGGATGAGAGCTATGCTGAAAACAACAAGATTGTCAAAGTCTTTCTGAGCAGAAGCTGTCAAAACTGTCTGCTACGTGATAAATCGATCGCCATCAACTGCGATTGATTTAAAGACATCAATGGAGATGTGGAATGGGAAACCGAGTGATTATTCTTCTTTGCATGTATTTGGATGTCCTGTGTACGTGATGTACAACTCCCAAGAAAGAACAAAGTTGGACCCAAAATCCAGGAAATGCATATTCTTGGGTTGCACTGACAATGTGAAGGGGTATCGTCTGTGGGATCCTATTGCCCACAAGATTATTGTTAGCAGAGATGTAATATTTGTAGAAAATGAACTACAAAAGGAGAAAAAATATGACAACACTATAAAGGAGATTACTACAGTGGAAATGGAGGAAAAATCAGGAGAAAATAATTCTTCTGAAGCAGAGCCAGAGCACGAGGAACAAGAACCAACTGAGATCAATAATGTAAATCCCTGAAGAACCACACGTTAGATAAGAAAACCATCCTGGCACTCAGAATATGTGATGGCAAGTCATGATGCATATTGTCTTCTATTAGAAGATGGAGAACCATCAACCTTTCATGAGGCATTAAATGGTTCAGATGCTTCTCTGTGGATGACAACAATGCAAGAGGAAATCGAAGCCTTATATATATATATATATATATATATATATATATATATATATATATATATATATATATATATATATATATATATATATATATATATATATATATATATATATATATATATATATATATATATATATATATATATATATATATATATATATATATATATATATATATATATATATATATATATATATATATATATATATATATATATATATATATATATATATATATATATATATATATATATATATATATATATATATATATATATATATATATATATATATATATATATATATATAATACATGGGAACTTGTTGAATTTCCTAAAGGTCGGAAAGCAATCGGCAATAAATGGATGTTCAAAATTAAGCGAGATGGCAACGATCAGGTGGAATGATATCGTGCAAGACTGGTGGTCAAAGGATATGCTCAGAAAGAAGGTATTGATTTCAATGAGATATTTTCTCCAGTGTTAAGACTCACCACAATCAGAATGGTCTTGGCGATATGTGCTGCATTTGATCTAAATCTAGAGCAGTTTGATGTAAAGACTGTGTTTCTTCATTGAGAATTGAAGAGGAAATATACATGCTCCAACCCGAAGGCTTTGAAGAATAAGGAAAGGAAAAATTGTTTTGTAGGTTGACCAAATCTCTGTACGGTTTAAAATAGCCGCCAAGATGTTGGTACAAGAGATTTGATTCCTTGATCAGGAGCCTTGGATACAACAGATTAAGTTTAGACCATTGTACGTATTATAAAAGGTTTGATGATAATGATGATTTTATCATTTTGCTGTTGTATGTAGATGACATGTTGGTGGTAGGCCCTAACAAAGATCGAGTCCAAGAATTGAAGGCATAATTGGCTAGGGAGTTTGATATGAAGGACTTGGGACTAGAAAACAAGATTTTAGGGATGCAAATTCACCGAGATAGAAAAGACAAAAGGATTTGGCTTTCTCAGAAAAATTATCTTCAGAAAGTCTTGCGCCGCTTTAACATGCAAGACTGTAAGTCAATCGCTACCCCACTTCCTATCAATTATAAATTATCCTCAAGTATGAATCCTAACAATGAAGCGGAAAGGACGAAAATATCTCGAGTACCGTATGCATCAGCGGTGGGAAGCCTTATGTATGCTATGATATGTATTAGATCAGATATTGCTCAAGCAATTGGAACAACCAATCAGTTTATGATAGATCTAGGTAATGAACACTGGAATGTTGTTAAGAGGATCCTTAGAAACATCAAAGGAACCTCAGGTGCTGCGTTATGTTTTAGGGGATCGAAATTCACTATCAGAGGCTATGTTGATTCAGATTTTGCAGGCGACCTTGATAAAAAAAATCTACTACTGGCTATGTGTTCACACTTGCAGGAGGAGCGGTAAGTTGGTTATCCAAATTGCAGAATGTTGTAGCTTTGTCTACTACAAAAGCTGAATACATGGCCGCTACCTAAGCATGTAAGGAAGCAATTTGGATTCAAAGGTTATTGGAAAAAGTCGGGCACAAGCAACAAAAGATTACTATGTACTGTGACAGTCAGAGTGCCTTACACATTGCAAGGAATCCAGCTTTTCATTCTAGGAGAAAACACATAGGAGTTCAATACCATTTTGTCAGAGAGGTAGTAGAAGAAGGAAGTGTGGATATGCAGAAAATTCACACTAAAGATAACCTAGCAGATGCAATGACGAAGCCGATTAACTCTGATAAGTTTGCATGGTGTAGGTTTTCGTATGGCCTATTAGAGGCGTAATCAACATGGAGTTGGCAAGGTAGAGAAGATTTTGGAAGATCACAAATGTGACTTTAAGTGGGAGATTGTCGAAGATTATGGTCATAATCAAATATTGTGGCCATGGTAAAATACTATGGTTAAAGATTATGATTGAATAAAGTCAATTTGTGGACCAAGAAAGAAACACCCACGGTTTTATAACAATTCCCATGGTTTTGTGAAGATGAGCAACTATAAATAGAGGTGCATTTCTCATTCCTAATAACAACACAAAATATTGCAACATAACATAAAAGAAAAATTTAGAGAGATAAAATATATTGTATTTTCTCCTATAAGATTCTTTTAGTGAATGTTCTCCTATTACAAGAGAGAGTGTAATTTGTTCTCTCCTTGTATATAGAGAGCAGTGTTATAATTTCTTCCACTTAGTGAAAATCTTTTCTATCGATGTTCGTGGTTTTTCTCTTATTTGTTGGGAATTTTCCATGTAAATATTTTGTGTCAATTTTCCTATTCCTTAATCTTTTAATTTTGTGATATTTATCTTGCTACTTTGATAGCCAACAAAATCTACGTCCACAACTAATTATGGAGTATTATTAAAGAATTCGTTCGAAATCTGAGTGAGAGACTATGCGCAAAAAAATTGGTTTGTGATGATTTAACAATAAAAATTAGACAATGTTGCATGGGATGAAGCTAGTTTGGCAAGAGAGAATTTCAAATTCAGGGAGGTTGAGAGTGACTAAACAACTCTAATAGACATGGTCAGCAAAGAGATCGAAAAAAAGAATTGATAAATAAAAAATGAATTGAAGAGTATGTTAGCCGATAATATTTATGGACCTTATCTTTTAGACTTATCAAAGTTTCTCTTATGAAAAATTTTCATAATAACCGAATTCACATATAAAAAAAAAATCTAAAGAATAACATTATCCAAAAAATAAAGTTTAAGAAAGATTATGATATTCGAGAGAGATATATGCTCCAAAAATTTATTTAAACTTGACATTATAAATAAATTTCATCTATACAAGATAAATTAAAAATGTTTTATGAAATGTTCTTAAATTATAGATCAAGCAAAACTTGATAAATAATTGGAGTATAGTACTATCATATGTATTATGTGCCAAGAAATACTAAATACTGTAATTATAATAAATTATATTTATTAATAATAAAATTTGCAATAAAAATATAAAAATTTACACTAACACATTAAATATATTAAAAATATTATATGATTTCTATTTTAAAATAAATTGTAATATATCTCTTTATATTTACTAAATTTTTACAAAATACAACAAAAACATTATTAATATTTTAAAATATTTATCAAATTTAAAAGTTAAACCAATATAAATTCACATACTTCTAAATAATACTCTTATTTTAAATACAATTAAAATCAAACATAATATTTTTAAATTTTAAAACATATTCAGTCATTAAATTAAAATATATTTTACTGAAAAATAATTGAACTATATATATTTTAATTTGCACGGATAGTTTAACTAGTTTCAAATAAAACGCAAAAACATGTCCCACCAAAAGAAATCAGTAATCAAAATATTTGATGGGAAGCTAGCTTGTCCGCAAATTGAAAGACATTGGTTTAAGTAATTCTGAACCATAAAACTATTGAAGACTCCAATTGATTGGAAGGAATGTTTAAATTGAAAATCAGAACCAACCTGCTATCGATTCATGCCGAAAACGCACACACGAGATCAAAATGAAAGCACCATCAGCACTATTGAAATTTGTTTGTAATCTAGACATATGATGGACAAAGCAAAATTTGTAGACCATACACTCGTGCAGAATTTCTATACTCTGTACATCATAAATTTGTACATTATAATAGTAACCATAAATTTCAGTCTTCAAACTACTGCACTGCAGGTACTGATCCACTCTAAGTTTGTTGTTGAATATTCCTATGAGGCATCAACTCCTCCCCAGCAACAGTGCGAACCATCAACTGAGAATTCGAGAAAAATAGTAGAAGAATAGATGACAAAAATTTAGATTGAAGTTTCAGTGTTTCACAAGCTTGTTCAGCTAAAGTTTACTGAGTACAGAATCAAAACATAACAGATAAGGTATAACACAACTCCAATATTAGGATTCAAATAGAAGAGCAATGATGTATAAAAAGTTATAACTTGTAATTTGTAATTACACACAAAAACACACAAAAGTTAAAAGTTGATTCAAATAAAATTCTTTGCAATACCTTCCAATCAATATAGTCAAGTCTGAACACAAAGTGGCTCAAAGCAACATCCTTAGAAATAACTGATTTTGCGGCAGGAGCATTCCTTGGCGCTGAAAAAGAACAAGTCCTCGGAGTAAAGATCAAGTTAAAATCAAGTGAAGTATGGTAAATTTTACGAGAAGATTAGAGTAAACATTTTCAAAGTGGCTCACAAACTAGATGATGTCCAGCTTTGTCCACTTTGATTTCAGCTCGCCCATCCTTGACTAAAAAAGATAGAGCAAATAAGTTCTCTACCGTTTGTGCAAACGAGTTCCTATTTAAAACCAAATTTTCAAGCTTGACAGATCTATTCGTCCTTAAGATGTTAAACATAGTTAACATGGTTTTATCAGTATCATTTCTCTCTTCTCTTGAACCTTCAACAAGCTGCAAGAGGATTTAATGCAAAAAACGGAAAAAATATTAGTGTATCATAATTATAAGTTATAACAGATGCTGCATTTACACAATCTGAACACTAGTGAAGAAAAAAATTCTCTGTTGTATTAATTCCATTTTCGACTTAGGCACAAATCTGTGAACTATCCTACAACAAATAAATGGGCGATTGATGGACCGCTAGAGGTTAGGTGAAAAACGAAAACAATCAATGATGTATCTAATGAATACCTTTTATATTTTCTACATTATACTTTTTTCCTAGCAAAATATGCATATTCAAAGAAGTTTTACCTGTTCCGGCCGTGCCAATTCAGTGGGCTTCAAACGCTTTTTTCTACAAACCGTCTTCTGTTTTATTTTAGTATCCATTGGGCCAATCCTGAAAAAGCAAAATTGAAAAAAAAACAATATTCCAAGAGATATTAAGTATACTGGGAAAAACAAACTGCAAGACAAAGGAAGATTCTTGATGCATGGACATTACATTGTAGAACACCCATATCCTCTTCCGAAAACACTCGAAACTGCAACTCCAATGTCCTTCCAAGCTATTGAGTTGCAATCTTCTCTGCTAGTACTTGTTCCACCTCGTTTTCCAAATTTTTCAATAACGTGGGTGACAAAGGCTGAAGGAGTGAGTCCATTACTAGAATGACCTTTTGCAGACACTACCAAGGATTTGGTTATGTCCAAAAGAGCCTGTGCATCAGCTACTTGTTCTCTTGTTTTTGTGACTGAAAAAGACAACAGTAACGATGGGAAATTTAAAGAAGAAAAAGTCATATCCTTTCATTGTACTCATACAGAATTTTGATAATGAAATTTATTTCATTGATGAAAAGGTAATATAACAAATCACTCTTATCATCTCCTTCAATATGTTACAGTTTATAAGTATAATTTAATTTCTTATCCGTTTTAGTTTGAATGACACATGTTATATTTATCAGTTATAGTTGAACAATTAAAAAATATTTCTAAATATTTCTAATGTAATGATTTAACTTATCAATATTTCTAATTTGATAAAATATTAACTATTTCTATCTATAAAAGACATTCCTCATGACATAATAATAGAATAGAATGATATAATTGAATGTAATCACATGTGTGTCCGCTCGTAGGCGAACATAGGCGATCAGATCTTCGATTCTACTCTCTCTATTTCAAAATAACTGTCGTTTAAAATTTTTGCACACAGATTAAAAAATGCAATCATATTGTCATTAGATATTACATTTTTACTAAATTAATTTTATTAATGTGTTGAAAATAGTGTACAAAGTAATAATTATATGACACAATTGGAAAAATAACAATTATTACTATATTGAAAAATGAGAATGACATTCATTTTAAAATAAAAATTTTCTCCTAAAACGACAAGTCATTTTAAAGCGAGTATAATTCAAATACAGACCTACATTCTCCCAAATTTCTATTCTCATCATATGGCACAAGGATATAGCTAAATTAATAGCTGTAAAAAAAATAATAATTAGTCCCTTAAGTTAACTAAGTTAGTAGCTGCATAGTCGCAGGTTTGAACTTGCAACATCCCACTAGTTATATGTTTAAAGGGCGCTACTAGGCTGCATGACAAAAAAACAAAACAATAATCAATTAAAGTCGGAGAAATTAATACCTGACTTGTGTAAGTCCTCAATTTCATTGAAGATCGAGCCAAATACTTCAGAGTCAGTCTTTGCAATATTCTCTTGTTCATCTGCGAAAATCCATAACATGAACAAGCAAATAAGTTTTGAACTGTATTTCATTTGTTACTCAGAAAATAGATATAAAAAAAATAGAAAGGACATAAACGACAACAATAACTCAGAATTGCAGTCGTTTTCTCATTTCCACATCAACGAGAAAGATTAAAAACCACAAATAGGTCAAAAATCAAACTCATAGAACGCAATACAAAACTGAATCACTGTAAAATAATATTGAATTACCACCGTGAATCATCTTCTTGACGGCGAGGTAGCGAGAACGGAGATCTCGACGGCCGTTAGGAGTTTGATAATCAACGTCGCCGTTGCTGTTTTTGTCGCCATTGCTGTTATCATCTCTCATACTAGTGTTCGATTCGCGTTTCGCGCTGATGATGTGATCAATGCGTGATTGAGACATGAGTTTTTGAACGAGTGCGAAATCGATTTCGAAAATGCTATAACGGTTACAATCGGAAATGGAGTGCAGCGTCGGAAAAAGAAGAGAGTGTAAAGCGAACTGAGAGTGGTAGTATATGTAGCGGCAAGGAGTTGAAGAGTCTTATGAGGTACGTTTGGCTTTGAGAGAGAGGCGTGCATTCCAAGTTTTGAAATGATCTATTTATAGTGTGGGCTTCCTTCTTTTTTGGACACTTGTAGTGGGCTTTTTGTGTGCACAATTTCCTTTTTATTTTTTCATTTCTTTTGTTAGATGATATTTATACTCCTATTTATTATTGTGTTTTTATTTATTTATAATACATACCTTTAATTCAAAGCGAAATTTTTTCCTCATAAAATAGAAAAAATGGAATATGTTTGTACCGAAAAAGTAAATAAATAATAGGACAAGTATTAAGTTTGCTACCATTTGTATTGAGCATATTGTTTTTGATAAATTGTATTGAAATCAATACTCAATACTTTCAACTTTTTTATATAGTAATTATGATACTATTAACAGAAAAAGTATTTGAAACACCAAAAACAGACTTATATATCAACTATTAATCGGTAATGCATCTAAACTTTTTTTATTACTCTATCGATTAAAGTCAAATGTTAACATAAAAATAATTAATTTATACCAAATTTGTTAAATATTATTTTTATGTAACTTATTAACAGAGTTTGATTTCCACATACGCCAAAAGAAAAACTTCTTTAACAATAAGTTATCACATGTGAATCAATCTGAACTAAATATATTAGGTTAGGCAACTTTTTAAGAGTGTCCAATCTATTTCTATCATTAATTGTGACTATTTATTTAATTGAATTGTTTAAAATTTTATTTGATTAATTGATATTTTAAATTATTTATTGTGCAGATGTGGGAATAAGTATCATTGGAGCAAAAGTATAAAAAGAGTAAGAGTTTGGTATAGTTGTTTAAAATTAATTAAAATTTTAATTAATTATTAAAATATATAGTATTTTATTTGAATTAATTAAATAAAAATAGTTAAATAGGAGTTTTGGGCCATTATGAAAATTGAAGAAAATATGTAGTAAGAGTAGAGAAGTTAGTAATGAGTTGTGCAAAAACAACAATTTATAAACACTATATATTCTAAAAGTTGGGAGAAGAGCTAGCTTTTTGAGAAATCTGACAATACGTAAAACATGAGGCAAAGAGGAACCAAGAGTTTTTGGAAAGAAGAGTTATGATTGAGGAGAGAGACTCATAGAAGTTGTTCAATTCACTATCATTGCTGGAAATCTAAGGTAAGAGGGGAGAAAGGGCTATCAATCTAGATGTACTGCATGAAGGGTAGAGATGAAAGATCATTTACTCTTTTTAGGGCAATTGGGATGTGATTAATTTTGAATGTCTATGATGTTTTGATGTTATTGGTTGTATTAATGATGAATTTCGTGTGCATATATGTGTACTATTTTTTGTTTTGAGATATTGATGTTTTCCACCATGTTTGAGGTTTTGAAGGTTTTAGGGTAAATATAAATTTAAGGGATTGATGGATTAGATGTGTGAAACCATGAAAATAATATGTTATGGATGAATATATGTCATGTATGTAATTTTGGTTGATTTTGATGACTGAGGGTGAAAGAATGGGAGTTTGCTTTGATCTCCATTACTGAAAATGTGTTTTTTGACATGTTGAATGTTCATGATGACCATGGTAGTCATGACCATGACAACCATGGTAGTCCTCACACTCAGATTCATGATGGGCGTCATGCCATGACGACCCTGGTAGTCATGAACCTGTAACTTGCGTAAATTGGTTGTTTGCTTGTATTGGAGTGCAGAATCCGATTTTTGGACTTTTATTGGCTAGTTGGCCATTGTTTGATATTGTTTTGATGTGAGTTGATGATTAGACATAATTGATCAAAGTTATGAAATGATGGATGAATAATAGGAATGTTTCTAATGTTGTTGAACATGTTGTTATGATGAGTATTGCATATTTTATGATGATTGATTGTTGTGTATGATGAATGATGCGGTGTAGAAATGGTGAGATATGTATGGCGATCCTTTTGGTGAATCTTTTAGTGATAATGCATGTTGTCGAGAGTCATGTATCATGGTGTACGAGATTCAGTTCAATTTTGTGTGCTCTAGTCCTATGGTGGGGATCAGGAGCGAGTAACCGGTTTCATATGAGAATCGATGAATCATTACCTATGTGATGGTAGCAATTTAGTGTGCTCTTGTCTTATGGTGGGGATCGGGAGCGAGATGAACATGATTGTTTATGAATGGTACCACATGCATAATGAGTCAGTTGTGGAGTACATTTGCATACATGATTGTATATATAATTGATTATTCATGATGTTATTATTTAGATGTGAATATGTATATGTTATTATGAAGGGTGTGAGACTAGGTGGTTGTTGATTGTGTAATTGAATGCGCGTTTGTTGTATATTTTCTACCTTAGCATTCTTTACACTATTTATATTGGTTTGTTATTTCTAACCCCTTTTTCTTTCTTATTGTCCACCATGTAGTAGAGTTTGCGCCTGTAAGTGAAAGTTAGCTCTTGGAGTTACTCCATTTAGTTTTATTGTTGTTTTAGAAGTATTGCTTTGATCATGTAACATCATGGTTGGGAACGTTTGTTTGCTTATTATATTTTGTTGGAGTTTAATCATTTTTATTCGGTTTATGTTGAAATTGTTAAAGAGTTGAATATGATAACTCTTCATTTTGAAAACAATTTATTATAATTTGAAGTTGAGACTAAAAGTCGAAGTTGCAATGTTTTTATTATTAAAATAATATCGAATATCGCCACCATGATACCCTAAGTGAAGGTTAGCGTGCAATGACATGTCTTGTATGACGTTGATATTTGCGCCGTGTGTTTGATAAATGTTTGATTTGTTAAAGATTTTTCCGTTGGTGACACCTTAGATTGTTGTGTAAAGCTTAATATATGAGTATAGGGATTTAGGGTGTTACATTCGATGGACTGCAAAGACTTATAACATTTTGCAAACCAAAGACTTGAGAGGGGTCTTAGCGCTATCAACAATCACCTCCTTCGACGAGGAAGTTACTAGTTGCTAAGAGCAATTACGAATGTGAGATAATGGTTTTCAACAATTTTCAAGTGCTGACAACGTGGTAGTGTGTCGGAAGACTAAGTTGCATGTTCTTGAAGACGTGCCTATTTTTTAGGAATAAGTTGTCGGAGACGGTTATCTTTAGTTTAATATATATATATATATATATATATATATATATATATATATATATATATATATATATATATATATATATATATATATATATATATATATATATATATATATATATATATATATATATATATATATATATATATATAGTAGATTCATTTATTGTAATCAAAGTCGCAAAATGCATATACTTTCTCTATAGAACTAGAGTACCGAAATCAAAGTGCAAAATAATTTATGAGTAACATGTGAGTTCGCGTCCTTTTTCTTTATTGTCTTTATGTTTCCTTAATTGAAACACTTCATTATTTATGTCATTTATCACGTTTATTTAATGTTATTTATTGCATTTATTTTTTTACTTTAATTTAATTTTTTCATCGTTAGAGTTTGCCTTTATTATGTCTGCATATTGTCATTCACAATTACTTTACACACATAGTTTCTTATACACATGTTTTCACAAAATTGCTTATGAGATTTTTCGAGTTAATCTCACAGACTAATTAAACTCGTGATTGTTTTCTAAAAATATATGCTAACAAATTGGCACGCCCAGTGGGACATTTTGTGCAACATTTTTATTTTCTTTTACAATAAATTTTTGTATTATTTAGACATATTTGTTCTATATGAAATGTTTTGAATGTCTGGAGTCATATGCGTCTGAGAAGTGGTAGGACTTTGACAAAAATTATTAATTCAAAAAATACTTCTCATGTCTGTAATGATGCTCTAGACCCTGAACTAACAGTTACTTCAACGATTGGTCCAGCAAGGACATCAAACCTTATCAGAGTTACAGGTTCAATCTTAACTCTAGTAGCGACTTCGACTTCAATACCATAAGTAGTAGTTTCTTTGTCGTCAGTAACAAACATCCCAACTACACCCAGGCCTACTCGACTATTGTAGGAGACCCTAACCCTCCTTATGTCCCAATTTTTACCCTGCCCTTATTTACTAGAGATTACCCATATGACATCTAATCTCCATGATGACAGAGCTACAAAGTCACAATTTGACGCTTGTAGATTATGCTGCAATTATAGCGTCACCTTTAAATCCACACTCGACATCAGAATATGCCATAAGTAATCCTGGTTAGATGGCACAACCACAAGGAGGATTTGGATATGTTACTCTAGAAATGCCAGTTTTAACTACAAACTCTCTAGCGTCCATGAGGAAACAAATGGATGAGAGAAACCATGAGATGGTGAACATGTTAACACAACATATAGGTACTGTGTTCCATCCTCTAATATAGAACACAACCCATACTTACCAATAACTGGCCCATTAGATGGGTAGAATTGCTTATTTTTTTTGGGACGTCTCTGACGCCAATACTGCCACTACCCAATAACCAAATTCTTATAGAACAACCTCCACCTAGGGTAGTTGAACGAAACCAAACCCAAAATGGACGAGAAACATTTATGGTGCAAAGATACTACAATCCTGGTTAGGCAACTTTTTAGACTATCCAATCTATTTCTACCTCTAATTGTGACCATTTATTTAATAGAATTGAATTGTTTAAAATTTTATTTGATTAAATGGGGTTTTCAATTATTTTTTGTATGGTTGTAGGGATAAGTATCCTTAAAGTATGGCTATAGAAAGAGTAAGATTTTGGTATAAATGTTTAGAATTAATTAAAATTTTAATTAATTATTAGAATAAATAGTATTTTATTTGAATTAATTAAATAAAAATAGTAAAATAGAAGTTTTT